GGGGCTGCACATGAGTGGCAAGGAGCACCAGCGACACAAGCAGCCCAGTGGAGGCTGCACCCCTTGCTGCAATGTTCACCATGCATGAGGAGGCTCCAATGGAGACACCAGAGGAGGTGGGTAGTCAGCGAACTGCCACCCCCAAGAGGAGACAAAGGGGGACGCTCCTTCCTGCAGGGCACCGAGGGACCCATTTCTTGAGAACTGGCAGAGGCCATGCGCACACAAGACATGGGCATCATGGGTGACTTCAATTACCCAGACATCTCTTGGGAGGAACACTCTGCTAAGTCAGATCGGTTGCGTTGCTTTCTGACCTGTATCGAAGTGCTCTACCTGACTCAGAAAGTGCATGAGCCAACCAGAGGTCTTGGCCAAAGGAGACGATCTGGTGAGTGACTTGAATATTGAGGGTAGCCTGGGTGACAGCGACCACAAAACCATCACGTTCACTGTCCATCACAAGGCAGGCAAATCAGCTAGTAGGGTTGAAGTTTTAGACTTTAAAAAAAGTAAATATCAACAGGCTCAGGACAATAGTAGGGGAAGCGATGAGGGACCAGGGACCGAAGGTGAAATGAGTGCAAGAAGAGCGGTCCTTCCTCAAGGACACGATCCTCAAAGCACAAAAAAAGTTCATTCCCAAGCAGAGGAAAGGTAGCAGAAGGACTGGTAAACCCTCTTGGCTTAATAGGGATATCATGGTCCTCTTGAAAAAGAAGAAAGAGGCATACAAACAATAGAAGCTTGAGACAGTCCCCAAGGAGGACTATACAACAACGGCCCGCACTTGTAAGGAGCAGATTAGAAAGGCTAAGGCAGCGATGGCATTTAAACTAGCAACAGAAATCAAGGACAATAAGAAGTCCTTCTTTAGGTATGTAGGGGACAGGAAGAAAACAAATGGAAGCATGGAGCCATTGCTTAACTTAACAACTCAGGATAGTTGGTTACGAACACTCAGGAGAAAACTGAACTCCTGGATGACCACTTTGCTTCAGTATTTTAACAGACTAAGGGGAAAATCATACTAGATAAGGTTCAGAATGGGCATGGTGGGAATGACCACCTTCCTACTGTTGATGTGGAGCTGGTGTGTGATCAGTTAGAAAAGTTAGACATTTATAAGTCAGCAGGACTGGATGAACTTCATCCGAGAGCGCTGAAGGAGCTGGCTAAAGTCATCGCAGGACTTCTGGCAAAACTCTTCCAAAACTCATAGTGCTCGGGGGAGGTCCTTGAAGACTGGAAAAGGACCAAAGTTGTGCTCATCTTCAAGAAGGGGAGGAGAGAGGACCTGGGCAACTATAGGCCAATTAGCCTAACTTCTATGTCACGGAAAATCCTGGAAAAATTCATCAAGGAGTCTATGTGCAATACACTTGCAGAAGGTAGGATTCTGAACAACAGCCAGCATGGCTTCATCATGAGCAGGTCTTGTTTTACCAATCTCAGTTCTTTCTATGGCCAGGTAACTCACCACCTGGATAAGAGAGAGGAGGTTGGCATTGTATACCTAGACTTCCAAAAGGTCTTTGATCTGGTATCCCATGATGTTCTCACAGGAAAATTGGAGGATTGCAGGCTTAACTGCTCGACAGTTAGGCGAGTACAAAGCTGGCTGCAGGGTAGGACCCAGAGAGTCCTAATGATCGGATCCGTGTCATCCTGGACTTGTTTAAGAGTCAATTAGACATTTATCTTGCTGCGATCCTGTGACCCCAGCTGACTTTCTACCCCTGGGGTAGGGGGCTGAACTTGATCTTCCAAGGTCTCTTCCAGCCCTAAATGTCTATGAATCTATGAAAGACTGAAAATGCTGGGACTCCTCATCTGAGGAATGGAGACAACTAGGTTGGGAGTGGGGGCATAGGAGCATGATGGGAAATGAGATCTATAAAAATCACAAATGGTGTGGAAAAAAACAATTTACTATGTTTCCAAACGAGAATGAAGGTGCATCCAATGAAATGGTCAGGCAGGCTTAAAACAAACAATATGCTGGTAGGGGTATGTGGGAAGCTAGTAAATTTAGGTGTACCCAATAAGAAAAAGTTTGGGAACCTCTGCTCTAAAACACCCACAGCTTGCCGCTATCGGATTAGGCTACACTAATGACTTTGGTCCAACACAGTAGGGCACTTATGTTCTTAAGGCAGGGGTGGGCAATTATATTGGGCAGAGAGCTGCTTACTGAGTTTTGGCAAGCCATCGAGGACTGCATGACAGTAGCCTAAATTCTATCTTAATATTAAAAATATTAATTTATCTGCGCCCATGGGGCCCCTAAATTTTTTAGGGGCCCCATGGGCCGGATAGAATGGCTTGGTGGGTTACACCTGGCCCGCATTTTGCCCACCCATCTTAAGGTGTTGCATGGCCAAACATATGCAGACCTTACTCCCTACCAAATACCAATTCTGGGTCATCCAGTATATCCTTAATCACCTTTTGGCTTTTGAGTTGAGCTTTATGGGACAGACACCATGTACAAGTTGAACGGCAAAGTTCCAGTTACTGACGCTGAAATTTCCTTTTCACTCATTTTCTGATACCCTCTGAAGGCAGGAGCTAGCTTGTTCTGCTGTCTCTACAAAGTCCTGCCACACCACTGCTGCTGGCAATTCCAAAGTGAAATATAACCTAGTTTCAACCACCAAAACCACTTAAAGTAAAAAAGGCCACAAAAGCTGGAAACAGTACTTTTTCCTAGGAAAAAAAAAGAAACAGTGGTCACTTACCCTCTTGTCTAGGAAGGAGGATGGACCCATCTTTAGGGTACCAGCCTGGGACATGGGATACCCAGATTCAATTTCCTGTTCTAACATATACTTCCTGAATGACCTTGGGCAAGTCACTCTGTCAATTCCCCATCTCTAAAATGGGGATAAGCTGTTGTGAAGATCTACAAGTCCCTTCTACTCATATATAGTGTGTATAGAGTAGCAGCAACTGGATATTGATGGCTATATAATACCTTTACTTATTTGTATTATGTATTAAAAACTGAAATGCTAAGATACTATGGTTTCACCCATTCCAATCATGAAGTAAGAAGGTGGGTAGAGTTCTTTGCAGCTCCTGATCTCCACCTAGGAAAGTAAGGGGCAGTAGTTTTCAGGACACAACATTCATAATAGTGTATGGCAATCACAGTTTGCATCAGCTTAAGTGCTCTTTAAGAACCCAGTCCACATAAGTTCTTACAGTCCATCCGAGTCCAACTGTGAAGTGATGTCAGTACATGGTCAAAGCCCTACAGACAGGGAAAGAGTCTGCTTTCTTGTTCAGGTTTCCATGATGAGGTGTACAATGCCAGCTACTGCTTCCAAAAATGTACCTAGCTCTTTAGGACAGCAGGTTTCAAACCAGCAAGATTCAGGATTACTGGTCACAAGTAAGGGCATTAAAATACCCAGCACTTTAAAATAATAAGACAACAGAAAATATAGGAGCCATACAACTGCTTATTTGGGTGACATTTATTAGAGAGCTTTTAAGCATACAATAGTTCATGTTATTGGTGCGTCAGGATAACTAAGCAAATGTAAATTGGGTCAATAGTAAAGAATAATTTAAAACTAGTGGACAGGGCATTTTCCAAGAAAAATTAATTCTCTTAACTAGTGGAGGATGAAAATCAGATGTAAAAACTGATTGAAGTAGAGCAACAAATTTAGGAGTTTGCATTGGAGTTCATCCACTTAACTGGCAACTCAGATGTACAATAGTAGCAAATTCTTGCTACTCTTTTATTAGGGTACTTGGGTCTATGCCTTCCACTTTCCAGAATACACACCCCTTCCCCATATTATAATTGGCAGAAAGTGCACAATGAATGAGAGCCTTTACTGAGGAGACCTAAACCAGCACCTAAAGTAGTTATTTAGGTGCACAGTTTACATACACATGTATGAAAAACAGGCTCTTGATCTTTCAGGAACTGGAACATGAAACCAGTACAGGATTTCAAGAAGAGCATATTAAAACTCAATCAAGTTCTCACCATAAGGCAACCTTGGTATAGAACAGGGGTCAGCAACATTTTTGAAGAGCGTGCCAAAAACACCTGCAAACTCAACTTGTAAGATGTTGCTTTGCCAGAGGCAGATGGCGGGGGCTACAATAGGCCTGATGCTTGTTGTGGCAGCTTAGCCCCAGCCCCTTCCCTACCATCCACTCCAAGGTGCATATGCCAAGCAAAATGCCTGTGCGCGCCATGCTCTGGCACATGTGCCAGGGATTGCCTACCCCAGATATAGAACCTTCCTCCAGTTTACTTGAACTATAGATTAAAACAACACATTCTGCAGGCAGCTAGACCACAGGGTGGCACTTCCTGACAGTAACTGTAGACAGCAATGTGAGTTTTACTTCTGTAAATACAGCTTTTTGAAAGATATGTACTTAACTATTTTAGAGAAGCAGATACCACCCCCCCCACGCACATTTGTAGTAAGCTGCCGAAGCAGTTATAAACTAACAGCAATCTCTTGGCTGCCATCTAGCTTAGAGGTTGTCTTCACCATCAGAAGACCAATACCAAAGTCTGGAGGCATCTATTCATACAAAAATGCTCATAACTTAACTTAATAGTTCTGCATCTACATTAGCTGCCTCAATTGTGTTTATTTTTAGTCTCCTGCATTTATCAATGCAGAGAATTTGAATCCTGTTGAATTCTTCATTCTTTATAAAAAGTTAAGATTTTAAGCAGTTAAATTCTGACATTTAAAAGTAAGCCTCTGGAATTATTTTTCCATCTAGGCTACTGAACTGAGGTAGACTCCAGGAACTGAGTTAGTAGCTATCTTGGACAGAAGAAATGCATCATAGTTTCTAAGCACGATGAATACTGTTCACAAGTTAAACATTCACATACACTGTAATTTTCCCCAGCAATTTTTTTAAAATCTAGGTCTTTAACAAAAAGCTTTTGAAAATCCTGGTGATCAAAAAATCCCCAAACAAACAAAAAGGTAAAAATGGTAAAAAATAAGTCAATTTACTCAAAATCAAATTTTTAATTTTCTTAAAACATGCCAAGAGTAACTACTGGACTCCCTGTACTGAATGCTATAGTGTTTTCCTGCTAATAAGTACCTTGAAATGACTATTAAAATTGCAGTTCTGAAGGAATATGATGGAAGACAAGTCACAATTTAATAACAGATTTCATCCAGAGGGCAAGATGATTTACACAAATTAAATTAACAGATTCTCCCATTAACATACAGGACTTTGTTAAGGATACTGGATTAAGTTAAGAAGAAAGTTCAGAAGATGAACAGTTTCAAACCACTTTCCAAAATTTCAATGGCTTTTTAAAAGTTCCAATAAGCAACACTTGTACAAAACTGAGATGTACTGGCTTCTCTGTGAGAACAGCTGAGGCTCTTCTCAGGCTCCCTGGACCACTGGAATGAAAGGTGGCTGATTTTACTTTCCGCCCCCATCCCAGTCCATTAGAGGTTGTGATTTATTAAAATGTTCTTGGACTTATTGAAGACTGGTTTGGCAGGCAAAGGCTGCAGACTGTGTCAATCATAGTGGATGGCAGTGTAGAAGATTATCCAAACAACCTGAAGAGAGGACAGAAGAGAAGAAAGGAAGGTTACTCAGGCCCCTCTGGAAAGGTTTCAGCAATTAGCATTCCCCAAACTGTGCTAGCAGTGCAAGACACATCACTTCAGAGGCAAGATGGAACTTCACGGGGAAATAATTTTTACCATCAAATCAAATAAAGCATGCACCAAGAGCACTCTCTACTTGACTGAAGACTAATCTCTACCTTTAATGTCACCAGAGGAAACGAACACATTAGAAACTGGTGTGGAACTTCTGGCTAGCTTACCAGGCATCCTGACCTCCACCAACACAGCCCCAGCTAAAATGACACCAAAACACATGTGCTCACTTCAAGACAGCCAGTACTGAGATCACAAATGCATTGAGAGAGGTGAGAGAACAGGAGGGGAGGGAAGAGAAAGAAAGCATTTTTAAACTGCAGTGTACAGTGATAGGACAGGTCTTAAAGACAAGAGCAAAACTTGATGCAATAAGCAACAGTGCTCTAGATAAATATTGGTGGAGATGGGAAGCAGATTTTAAAAATAAAATTGCTCTTCTCATAGATCTACGGGGAGAGTCGACAGGAGAGAGGAGAGTCAAGTTCAATGACACTACAGCTGCAGTTTCTCACCTTTAGCTCTCCTTGACCCGAGTTCCATGAAATATTCCTAGTCTACTACATCTCATTAGTCTACAAGTAGGGACAGCCTATCTTCATGCTCAATCCTACTTATTAGCTGGTAGATAACCATCTTTCCCCCCCCCACACTCATGAACCAGCCCTCCTAGTTCTTGTTTAAACATAAGCAAATCCAACAAAGTATCAGAAAATGGAGCAAAAGGAATTACCAAAAACAGTGCAAAAGATGTCATAAATCCTTCTTTTGTTAGCTCCCACGTCCCTCCGTACTCCTCCTCATCTATTTGCTGGAAACTACTAAAATAGAGGTAAAGGACTCCAGCATTGATCAGGCAGAATCTGTGGGGAAAAAACATTAGAAGCCATCATTTCCAATGACAAGATAAGAGTCATCTCTGCTCTAATTAACATTATTGCTGAAGAGTAGGACACTGCCCTTATGCCCCAGCTTAGAAGCTCCTGCTGAGAGATATTTTGCCTCCTGAAGAGAAAGCACAGAAAAGCAATTCTTCACAGTGCAAGTAATGTTAAATCTAGAAACTACTCCCCCTTCCTCACAGTTAGGACTGCACTGCCTAATAGCAGATAGTGTATTTCCAATTTGACTTGATACAGTTATACCATACCAGTTAAATCATAGAAAGGTAGGGCTGGAAGGGATCTCAAGAGGTCATCCAATCCAACTCCCTGCTCAGGGCAGAATCATCCCTGTTTAAACCATCCTAGACAAGTGCTTGTCTAATCTGTTCATAGGAAGACCACAAAGCAGTTAAAACTGAAGGACTCTGATTCTTTATCATGATTGTTTCTCAAGTCTAAGGTACTAGGCTCCTCAACTACATTTATTAAACTCTGCTATCCATTAGTAGATTTTATCTTGCCTAAGGGTATCATCTTCTAGTGGCCTGTGGCCTCATTTTAAGCTGCTAAACTAGTGTAAAGGTTGATTGGTAGAGATAAGGTCCTCCCTTCGCCAGGTGGAACCTAAATCCAGGTGCAAACAAAGAGAACGGGCATGAATAGGTCAGAGGAAGGAGCTGGCACAGTCATGGCAGACTTGTGTCCTAGCACCTCTGTATCCCTATAAACCCCCCTAGCATCACTACAGCAAGAGTACATCTTGGAGCAACCAAGAATATTACCTTAGTCTGTGCCAAGGATCACACCAACCTCTGTATGGGCAATGCAAAAATAACTGCATCTTTCTCCTCTCTCAACTCCAAAGTGGAGTTAAATTTGATCCCAAGAGACCCAGAATTAAGCCAACCTGGGCCTTGCCTTTGAAATATAACACACATACTTTTTTATAATATAAAGCATTGCTTAGGTTTACAAGCTTTGCTATGAGACTGAAACACTCACCAGTGGTTAACCAGGGGCATCTCCTTGCCCTAGGCCATTTATATCTATCGAATAAATGTAGTGTTCCTAGCCTTTATGGCTGTGAAATCCATCCCCAAGATGCAAGTGGATGCAGTTTTTTTTCCAGGCTACAGACAGCAGGTTGTGTCTTTGCTGCAGCTTGGGCAGTTTCACTGCTACTGTTTTGAACCATGATCTGAATTTGTTGAAAATCCTGAGTTTCATATGAGTGTTGCTGGGGAAAATTATGAGAAGTAGTCAATTAGGAAACGCAAACCTGGTTTGTTTGTTTTTTGTTTTCTGGGTTTTTTTTTAAATAAAAACTAGGCTACTTTTCTTTTCTTCTTAAAGGAAAAAAATGGAGACCTTCTTGTAACAGCTGGGATGTTCTGAGAAAGGAGAGGCAACAAAAAAAAAAAAACAACCCTTTTTACTTTCACCACTTAGAAGAGTGTAGAGGTTTTAAACTGGAAGGTATCTATCACAAGCAGATACAGAGTCCTAAAGCAGGTCACAGGCAAACTCCCCAACAAATACCACATTAGTGTCCTTCAAGGCCTGAAGTATAACAATGGCAAAGGGCTGGTACTGCGCTTTTTCCTGGAGCATTACCCCCACGTTTCATTTCCACCTTCACTTCTGGGTGGCAGGCTTAGTCCTCTAACTCATAAGAGGCTGCTAAATTTATAAATCCTATTACGTTTTATAATTTGAATACATTCATTTACAGTGCTAATAAAATGGACAAGTATCCCACATATATGAACATTTAGGAGGTTCTATATAAACATGTACCCAGAGAACTTCATGAAGATATCTACTTTACAGGACCTCTCTCCTTATGTTATTACTGTAAGTAGAGTGTTTAACCAAAATGTATCTTTAGTGAGATGGAGGAAACAGATGCATCAGCATAACCTTTTGTTTATTTGTTCCAGATTACAATCTTTTTGTATTTCTCCCTCTTGAATACATCAGGGGTGGATTGGGGAGGGCAGGGGAGAAGGAACTGTAACAAATCCATTTGACAAGAGTTCTTTATTCTGGAGGCCATGACCACCCAGCCTTTCCCATAAAGTTCCCTACTGTGCAGCATGGAAAAATATTGACAATTACTGTTCCAAAAAACAAATATAGCCATTTACCATGTCAAACTGAGACACTTTTCTTTTTAAACGCCAAAATAAGAGCTGTTCAGAATGTCTGGGGTATGCAAAGACTGTTAGATGCCAATTGGCTGATGTGGTCAGAGACACATCATGGCAAACTATAACAGGAAACATGATGCTACATAAAAAAATGTGTAAGATTTTGAGTGCCTATATAGCACTCTACTGCTTTGCTGTATTAAAGCAAACTAGAAATATCGAACCCTTAGTATGAAAAAGTACATGACAGATAAAAGAAAATAAACCTTACATTGCTATTCCCACAAACCCCTTCAGCGGAACTATGCCCCAGATGATTCCCAAAATAACGGCAATGATCTGTCGGAACCAGTAGATCACATCTAAAAACTCATCCTGAGGAAAGAAAAAGAGTAGTTAGGTGTAAAATGTCAAACATTTTTGGTGGCAAAAAGTTATAAATAAAATGCAGCTTAATGTTCACTGCACCCCACCCCAGAGGAAAAAGAAAAAAAAAAAAATCAAGGTTCTGAACACAAGTATATTTTAAAAGAACAATGCATATAGTATTCAAAAGCAGCTAAAAGTAAGAAATACACCCCAGTCCTCTCTAATTTCTAAATTCTGTCTTAATTCTGGATTGTTCTTCCCTCTTAGAGGCCCCTCACAACAATGAATATATTCAGTCTTTTTGTTTATTAAAATGAAACACAAGTAAAATGTTATACGTAAAAAAAAAAAAAAATGAACGTTATGTTTCCCATCACCTGCTAACAAACATTGTGAGCAATTCAGTGCTTCCAAGCAACTTCAGACACCACAGAACTCAGAGATAAAATATTTCCTTACTGATAGTATTTTGACTGCATTGCGATGTGTTTATTAAAAAGATGATTAAATTAAAATGATATAAACAAAAAAAAAAATCAAGGTCACTGAACATTCAATTTTACGCTAAAATGCTGTGTATTTAGCAGTCCTGCTGTGTATACTCAGAGCTGTACCTGAATATACACTGTGCAACTGTTTATTCCTATTTTCCCTGTGGAGCCTAGCAAAGGTGAATTCTAGTCTAAATCACATTTCAAATCAAATTTCATTTCTGCTGTCATACAGCTTTGCAACCTCTGTGACAATCTAGACATACTAGCACAACCCAGGACAGCATCTGGCTTTCAGAACCATTACTACAGAACATGTAATGCTGTTTGTTTCCTCACTACATTGCCAATGGAACGTGGTACATTAAGTTCCCTTCACTCACTGATTTTATACAGAAGTTAATCATTTGACTAGAGCATTAAAATGTTTCTCATTCAATCCAGGTTCACCCATATGGAAGGGTTACATCATGTTTTAAATATGGGTTTACCCATTTAAAAATAGTCAGGTAACTCAATTGTAGCAGTATTTACAGAAACTCAAATTTCTTTGCAGGGTTGGCCAGACACCTAAGCAGAGAGTGGAAGAAAGCTTTTTATTTGCATGACAGCTAAAAGCCAGAAGCTTCTGACCTTCCAACTGCTGTTTATTTATCACAACAAAAGATTAGAAGTCAGAGCAAAAACACAAGTTGTCACACCTCTAGCTCCAAAAGGGCTAAAAAAAGCCAGAGCTGTCTTTTTCAAGAGTAGTATTTATGGGATTTTTTTGTTTTTAAATGACTAAAAAAAAAATTAAGTTTAGATCCATTCAAATAGAAGGCCCAGTAGCAGTATTGACAAAATGTCACCAAGGCTCCTTGGTAAGCCTTGATACATTCCTGAATCATATAATTTTATGAGATTGAGCATCTCTGCATACTTCAGAGAAAAGAAACACCCTGACATATGGGGACAAGCCTGCATCACTGACATGCTGCTCACGTCTGGAAGATTATAGCTCTGAGCTTGTAAACACTTATGCAAGTACTTAACTTTGTGCATGCAGGTACTCCTAATGACTTCAGTGGGACTATTCTTGTGCTTCAAGTCAAGCACATACAGGCACATTTGCAGAATCCAAGCCTTAGTGTGTCAGATTTTTTTTAGAGGGAAACTGTGGAGGAGCATCACAGTCGATGGGCGAGCAGCCAGGCTACTGCTTGTGACATGCAAAAAACTGCCGAAAAAAGAAAAGTTAAGCAGCAGGGCCGGAGAGGCTTTGTCTATCACACCAGTCTGGCTGCTCTGCTGCCTGGACAGCCTGTGTACAGCCTGGCCCCCAGCAAGAAATAACTAACTCTGAGCTTCCTCCTAGCTCTACCTTCGGGTTTTTGGCCACCCAGAAATTTAAGTTCATCTTCAAAGTAAAACCAATCAGCTCAATGCTACTTGGTTCCCGCGGTGCGGAGCTAGGCGCAGCGCCAGCCGCCACCGCCCCGTGTCCCCGCGCCGCCGACCTGCTACCCCGCGCGCCGGCAGGAGGCGCGA